CCTCTGGGATTAAAATCTCTGCTATGAAGGTAGGGGGAAAGGGGGAAAAGAAGTGGCCATTGACGAAGAGAAGGTGTGATGGGGAGGAGGAGAGAAACAGTGGAGTGTTTGAATCCAAGCACCTCAAGAGAAGAGATTGCCCTCATATCCAGATCTGGTCCTAGGATGTGGCCTACTGAGTTTGGGATTGTCCTTAAAGAAGGCTTGGTTGAGAGTTAAAAGTTCCTTCCCTGCTGCAGATTCTTATATGCTCCCTTTTCCTTTCTCATGGCACAGTTCTGGAGGAATGATCAAGAGGAGTCAGTATGTACTTCTGCAACCAGTAGCAATACCCCTTCCTTTGCAAGGGAGTAGCAGAGTTCCGTGAAGGAACTTGGCTGGGCTTCAAGGAGGAAGAGGTGAGAAGTGCTACTTCCTACTCCTGGGGTCACAGCAGAGATGTCCACCTCTGTGAATCTGTCTATGCCCAGTGGGGTGTGAGCAGAAAGGTGAGGGGAGGGAGGATCCCTGACTAGAAGCAGCCGAGTCCTGAGTCCTCTCTGCAGGGAGGGCTAAGGTACCAGCATGGGGAAAAGTTCTCTCTCTCCTCTGGAGTGAGCCTTTCTCCTGCAGGGCAGAAAGGAAAGAGAAAACCTTCCCAGTAGGAACAGCAGACTGGTGTCTCAGCGGGTGCTGAGTGCTAAGCAGACCTTCAACTTTCCAAGCAGAGCCTCTCCCTTCCCTCTTCAGGACAAGTAGGCTGTTCTCAGGGTGGTAGCTGCTATGACGGAGGTCCACCTGCATGAGAAGCAGTACCTAGAGTGTTCCTTGGAGCTGGTCTTCTGGCTCCTGCACCAGTACCAGGTAGTCCTAGAGACCTCCAAGGTCACCAAGGTGGAGGTTTTGCTCAGGGCCCAGCACGGCTGCTGGAGTGTGTCCGTGTGAGTGCCATGAGGTGCTGAGGAGCTGCGGGGTGCCAGATGGAGCAGAGATCTTAGAGAAAGAACAGGGAGAGCAGAGGAGGCCTGAGGCTCTTTGGGAAAAAAAAAGACCAACACGGGGGGGTCCAAGAAGGAGGCAGTCACCCGCTCAGGAAGGGAGGCATTGCCACCTCCCTGGAGCTCTGTGTATGGGAAGAGCTTTGCTCTAATGCCCGGAGCCATATCCAGTCTTGTTCAGTGAGGGGCAAAGTCTGATGAGTGGGAAGTGGTGGGAAACTGAGTTGTCAACCACAGGCTTTGTTCAGAGGAAAGAGGCCCTCCCAATGCTACTCTGAGAGCTTTTGTTGAGATATTGCTGCTTGGGAGGTCTAGCTTTTTGTGGGAAGATCTGTGGAAAATGGTTCCCTGGAGTGGGGTGGCCATGGGAGCACCTGGCTGGGACCAGGTCCCAGCAGTGCTGCTTGTGTTATTCCAGATCCCTCAGGACTGCAGGACAGTGGGGACCGCCTATTGAGGCAGGCACTAGAGGAGTCCCTCCGTGAGACCTGGCTCCAGCCAGCATCAAGGTGTTAATAAAAGTTCATCACAAGATGCCTAAAGGGGACTGTATCTTGTTTTTCTGCTGGCCATGCTGCAAGCCCATGTGAGCCTTGGTCCCCTGTCCTGGCAGGCCCCACTGTGTGTGATCCAAACTGAGCACTGTAAAGTTTGCTCAGAAAAAACACATGCTTGCACAGTCATGCTCTTTGATAAAGGTGAGGATGTTAGAGGGAATTGAGCCCCTTTCTGGGTTCAACACCAAGCTGAGGGGGTTTTTGCTGTTGAGGGAACACCATCAGGGGCTGAAGGGCTGGGTGTTTCCTTGGGCACTGGCAGTGCTGAGGGCTCTGGCAATCCTGTGAGCTGAGGCACTGGGCAAGAACCGAGCTGGACATTCTCCAGTGGCAGGCATTTGCATGAGGAGGTTTGGCAGGATCCCATCTTGTCCTGCCTCTGCAGGGGGTTGGCGCCAGGCATGTGTGAGCCCAGGATCCCTGCGTAGCAGGCTTTGCACTGCGCTCAAATGCACTGAGCCTCCTTGAACCCCACAGAGCTTCTCAGCCCTGCTGGTAACTATTATTTCCCCCTGAGTTTCTACTCACACAGACCAAATGTGTTGGTTCAGCTGCATCCCGTGAAAGAAAACAAAGGACCAAGAAGCCAGAGACACAGGGAGAGAGGTTCCTGTAGAGGATAGTTCCTGGTGATGATAAATGTCTTTGGTGAAGGTTTCTCGTGTCAGACTAGGCTGGGAAAACAGATAGAACTATGGAGTGGGAAGGCTACAGTAGGCAACAGCTCAAGTGGGCTAGTCTGTTTTATTAGCTCTCCTGACTGCAGCAGTGGAATAGGATAGGGTAGGACAGGATGGGATGGGATGGAATGGGCTCAGGTTTAGTTTTCAAAGTTTCCTTTTCAGATTCCCCTGCTTAATTTTTAGGATCCAAGCAGCCAGAGTGTCCAAACCCTCACCTGCAGTGTCCAAACCCCTCTTGTAGGGGTCAAAGCCCCGGGTTGTAGGTCCCAAAGCCTCATTGTTAGGGTCCAAAAGTCTGATTCTGTGGTTGAAAGACTCCTTTTTAGGCTCCAAACCTTCATTTTAGTGTACAAACTGCTCATTTCGGGATCTGTCCTGGGTTCAGCTGGGATAGGTAGTGGAAGCCTGATTTCCTTTATATCACCACATTAATGAAGAACAAACAGATATAACTGGACAAGTGCAGCGGTGATGGAATCAGAACTGTCCTTAGCATGCAATAATTCTACACCACACACCATCCATCTTTCCTGCCCTGAGGGGCAGTTATGACAGATGGAACCCCAAGTCACAGATTGAATGAAGTCAGTGAACTTTTCTAGGGATGGGAAAGCATTTAAGGGAATGCTACCTGTGTGTGTGTATAAATAGATATATATCCATCAAAAGAGGGGAAAGGTGATGGTGGGAAGTGTGAGACCTGGCCTGACACGAATGATATGGAATAAGGGGTGGATACTGTCCTGATTTTGGCTGGAACAGAGTTAATTCTCTTCCTAGTAGCTGGCACAGTGCTGTGTTTGGGCTTTAGTCTGGGAACTAAACTTCAGTCTGGTAACACACTCATGTTTTAGTTGTTGCTCAGCAGCACTTACCCTGATCAAGGACTTTTCAGTCTCTCATGCTCTGCCAGTGAGGAGGAGCGTAGGAAGCCAAAAGGGAGCAGAGACAGGACACCTGGCCCAAACTAGCCGAAGGGGTATTCCATATTACAGCACATCATGCTTGGGGTAGAAACGGGGGGGAGTTACTTGGAAGGGACCAGTCGCTGCTTGGGTTGGGCTGGGTATCAGTCAGCGAGTGGTGAGCAATTGTACTGTGCATCACTTATGTTTTCTGGATACTAATTTCTCCTTTTTTTTGTTGTTCCCCCTTATTAATATTGTTACAATTTGTATTATTTCTATTATAATTTTGTTTTACTTTATTTCAATTACTAAACTGTTCTTATCTCCACCTGCGGGTTTCCATCCTTCCATTTCTTCTCCCCATCTTGCCCAGGAGTGAGCAAGTGGCTGCCTGGTGCTGAGTTGTCTGCTGGGTTTAAACCATGACAGAGGAGCACTCAGGTTTGCCCTCATCTGCTCTTGTCTGAGGCACATGGTGTGTAGGAAGGGGATCTCCTTTACACAGACACCCTAGGTGCCCATGCTCCCTCGGCCCCTCTGTCCATCATGTTGGTTTAGCCAGAGAGGATCCAGGCATCTGGGCACTGACAGAGGAAGGGAGCACAGGCACAGGCACAGACACACAGACACACAGACACACAGACACACAGAGCTCAGCTTTGCTGAAGGTGTTTATTGATCATGAGAGGGAAATGGCCCAGGGCTACCAGGGGATCAGGTGGGGCCCTCCATGGATGATCATCTCATGCTGCTGGAGGGGAACACAAGGGTGTCACTACCAGTTCCAGTCCTGAAAGAGCCCAAAATGAGACCCCCGTCAGTGTCCACTGGGACATGAGAGGGTCCTTGTTCACTCTGTCTCTCTTTACAGAGACCTGGGGAAAGAGAAGGGATTCAGAGGCTGCAGTATACCCAAGAAAGCCCTTGGGTCTCCTGAGATCCATGTGGCACACAAGAGCCCCTTACCCCAGGATGCCTTGAGACCTCTCAAAGCCCTTCCCAACCCTCACAGTGGTCCTGGGGGTCTATATGGCACCACAGTCCCTGCCTGGCCTGCACAGTGACCCTCTGGATCTGTAGATCCCCACTGACTGCAAGGAAAGGCATAGAGACAGCTCTGTCCAGCTTGCCCTGGGTCATGGATCATGGACAGTCCCTCCATTTCACTGTCCTATACTCAAGCCTGCCCATCCCAGAAGGTTCAGGGATTCCCTGGGTCCCAGAATCCCTTGTAGGGCTGGAAATGCAATGATGCTGCTCACCTAGACATGAAGAGCTGCAGCCTGATGTTTCAGTTAGACAAGCTTCCGCACCTGGGAAGGAAGCTGGAGAGAAAGGAAAGGTAGAGACACACTTGGGTGCACTGGGAGGCAGGGGAAAGCAGTGGGCAAGGGGGTCCACAGGGAAGGTGTTTTCAGGGAGAAATGGGGTACCTATGTGTGCATGGTGGTACACAAAAAGCAGCGGAGGTCCTAGGAAAGGGGCCCACCTGCATAGGTAACTTTGTACTGGGGCATCCTGGGGCACTCTGGATTGTAATAGGATGGATGGGAATGCAAGGTTTCCCCTGGGAAAAGGAGCTTCCCTGGGAAAACACTGTGGGCAGGGGGCTGCTCCCTGGGTTTGCAGTGGGTTGCATTGAGGTATAGTGGGCACACTAGGATGTCCTGAAGTGTTGTGGCCATGAGAGAGGAGCATGTAGGGACAGTAGAGCTCATGATACCTACCTCAGGCCTCTTCCCCCACTTGATTTGGGGTCCCTCCTGTAGAGAGATCATGAGACCTCACTGATCACTGGGATGTCCCCAGTACCAGCAAGGGATGGGAGGAACAAACTGCCCTCCAGTTCCCCACACTGAATGCCCTCCAAAGCCCATCCCAGTACTTGCCTCCTGGCTAAAACCTCCACTTCCTTCCAAGGGTGCCTAGGGAAGGAGAGCAAAGAGGTTGTATGGATTGGACTTGGTGGGGCTGTGGTTGTGGCCATGAGAGGGGACTGTCTGGGGACAGTAAAACATGATACCTACCTCAGGCCTCTTCCCCTGCTTGATTTTGACTCCCACCTGTAGAGAGACCAAGAGACCTCACTGCTCACTAGGATGGCCCAAATACAAGCAAGGAATGGAAGGAACAAACTGCCCTCCAGGTCCTCAGACTGGATGTTCCAGACTGGATGTTGGTAGGGCTGTGGTTGTGGCCATGAGAGGGAAGCGTCTGGGGACAGTAGAACTGATGATACCTACCTCAGGCCTCTTCCCTTGCTTGATTTTGACTCCCCCCTGTAGAGAGACCATGAATCGCCGCTGATACCAGCAAGGGACAGGGGGATCAAACTGCCCTCCCATTCCCCAAGCTGGATGTCCCAGACTGGACCTTTGTGGGGCTGTGGTTGTGATCATGAGAGGGGAGTGTCTGGGGACAGTAGAACTCATGATACCTACCTCAGGCCTCTTCTCCCGCTTGATTTGGGGTCCCTCCTGTAGAGAGATCATGAGACCTCACTGATCACTGGGATGTCCCCAGTACCAGCAAGGGATGGGAGGAACAAACTGCCCTTCAGTTCCCCACACTGGATGCTCTCCAAAGCGACCCCAGTACTTGCCTCCTGGCTAAAACCTCCACTTCCTTCCAAGCGTGCCTAGAGAAGGAGAGCAAAGAGGTTGTATGGATTGGACTTGTTGGAATGCGGTTGTGGCCATGAGAGGAGAGTGTCTGGAGACAGTAGAACTCATGTTACCTCAGGCCTCTTCCCCCACTTGATTTGGGGTCCCTCCTGTAGAGAGATCATGAGACCTCACTGATCACTGGGATGTCCCCAATACCAGGAAGGGATGGGAGGAACAAACTGCCCTCCAGTTCCCCACACTGGATGCTCTCCAAGCCTACCCCAACACTTGCCTCCTGGCTAAAATCTCCATGTCCTTCCAAGGGTGCCTAGGGGAGAAGAGCAAAGAGGTTGTATGGATTGGACTTGTTGGAATGTGGTTGTGGCCGCAAGAGAGGAGCGTCTGGGGACAGTAGAACACATGATACCTACCTCAGGCCTCTTCCCTTGCTTGATTTTGAGTCCCACCTGTAGAGAGACCATGAGACCTCACTGGTCACTGGGATATCCCCAGTACCAGCAAGGGATGGGAGAAACAAACTGACCTCCAGCTCCCCAGAACTGGTAGTTCTCCAGACTGGGGACTACCCCAGTACATGTCTCCAGACAAGACTCTCCACTTCTTTCTAAAACTGCCTTGGGAAGGAGAGCAAAGAGGTTGTCTGGACTGAACTTTGGTGGAGCTGTGTGCGGGGCACAGATGTCTTCAGAATCTCCAGGCCCATGGCTTTCTCCCAGTCTGAGCAGGAATATCACGTCTGCTCCCACAGCCCCATTCCTCCAGATTTCACCTGGGATACCTTGTTCATGCATCCTCACCTCCTCCAGGGTGAGGATGGAGATAAGGATAGCCTGGGGAATTTGAGGCTGGACCCAAAGACAGAGCACCAAGGGAGTGGGCTGGCAGCACTGAAGGGAAAGGACAGTGTGGGGTGTAAGCTAGCGGAATAGGAATTCAAATGGAGGGGACACGGGGACTTCAGGCACAGTGGTTGGTAGGGGGAAAAGGAAGAGGACTGCAGAGGACCAAACTGAGGGGATTGGGAGAGTGTTTGGGAGTTGGGGTTCAAGGAAGGGGATCTGGGAACACTACCACAGTAGACAGGATGAAAGTCAAAGGACTGAGGAGGGGAGATAGGAAGAAAGTTGTTGGAAGTGGTCAAAGGGAGGGCATTTGAGGACCCTGGATAGGACACAGAGGAGATCCTGGAGAGGAGATGTCTGAAGGGGCTGCAAAGATGGGATGAAGAGGCACGAAGAAGAGAAACCAGTGGGGACTCTCCTAGGGAGGAGATAGGTCCAACCATCCAGTGAAGAAGCTGGGGTCTGGGCATCAGGAGCTATCCGGAAGGGAAGTGTGGGAATAGACAGAACTGTGCAAGGAAGAACTGCATTGCCTGGGGCTGGAGAAGCCCCTTGCTTGGGAAAGGGAGAAGCCAGCTCAAGGGGTTTTGTGCTCACCACTACGATTTCATTCTGCAGGATAGCTGATGTTTTGCAGCCACGATCTGTTCCCAGCCTTGGGCCCTGCCACGAGGCGTTATGGACTCACCTTAGCATCTGCTGGAGTGCACAGCAGGGTAGTGAAGAGCAGGGCCATGCTGACCACTGCGACCTTCATGTTTCTCTGTGGTGTGGTGAGTCCTGGGTGAAGCTAGAGAAGGTGAGGGGCAGATTTATCCCTCCCAGGACTCCTCCTTGCCCTCCCCAAGAGGCCCCATGGCAAAGCCAGACTTGGCAGAGACACCAGCCCTGGCAACAAGCCCAGCCTCGACACAGAGTCACCTCTGTCTTCAGCATGGCTCCAGCCACCTTCCCTGGCATCAGTCCAGCTTCCTGCGCAGGGCAGCTGGACATGGAAAGACCCAGACATCTGGAGGTGGTGAAGGGGGACAGATCGAGGAGGCCTGACAGCTGGACATCCTATGGTGACCACCTACTGCTCCAACACACAGTGACATCCCCCCCATCTCCCACAGCCCCTCACCTCCCAACACTGCCATCTCCCAGTGCCGCCTGCTTGAGGCCATCCTGCCCACCCAGGTAACCTAAGTCCCACTCTGCAGTTGCCCCTAGATGATGGGTCTCAGTGATTCTGTCCCAAAAAAAGCTCTGGCTACAACCCCATCCCTGGCTGTGACTTGGACACTGTCTCCCAGGGCCCCTGTCCCCAGGGAGTGTCCCTTCAGTGCCCTCATCCTTGGCCCAAGCCAGCACTGTCCCTGAGCAGGCTGTGGCTGTCCAGAGGGACACAATGAACAGGGCGCTTGTCCTCAGGCAGCCACTTGGAGCTAACTGCAGGGACTGCAGTGATCCCACGGCAACAGGAGGGATGTTTGTTCTCACTGTCATCCCTCCTCTGTGTGTGTGTGTCTGATAAGCTGTATTTGCCTAGGACCAGTGGCGCAAGGAACCTGTTCAGCAAGGTTGGTGCTTCCAACATGTTCCACAAGCTTGGTGCTTCATGAGATTGCCTAATGCAGGATGGGGAGGAGCCTGGCAGAGCCTGCAAAGGAGGACAGTCCTGGAGGCACCAGGGAAGAACAGGTCCAGGGCACCCCACACACCTACAAGGGCTCCCTTGCTCCCCTGAGACAGGCTGGAGCCCAGAGGTGGGGACAGTCCCAGGGGAGCAGCTTCACAGCCAGGGTGTCCCTCTCTTTCATTGCAGCCTGGTGACAGGGGTTTCCCACAGGAATGGAGCTTAGAGCAGCCTGCAGCCTGGGTGATGGAGAAGCCTCCCTGGGGCCACTTTGTCCCCTTCCCTCTACCCCGCTGCCTGCTCTGCAGCTATCCCTACCTTACCAGGACATTTTCCTTCACAGCACCCCTGACCTAAACATCACCATCCTGGGGATACTGGGCAGCATCATTTGCCCAGTGAGGGATTGTATGCTTCAGCTCTCCACTCTGGTAAGAGCCACTGGGTGAAGCTGCTGTCTTGGTTTGCACAAATGGACTACTTGGTTTGCACTACCTGGATTTGTACAAAGCATTTGACACTGTACCACACGACATCGATGTCTCTAAATTGGAGAGACATCAGTTTGATAGGTGGACCACTCGGTGAGCAAAGGACTGGCTGGATGGCCACATGCAAAGAGTTGTGGTCAATGGCTCAATGTCCAGTTGGAGACCAGTAATGAGTGGTGTCCCTCAGGGATCGGTGCTGGGACAGGTCTTGTTCAACATCTTTGTCAGTGACATGGACAGTGGGATTGAGTGCGCCCTCAGCAAGTTTGCCGATGACACCAAGCTGTGTGGTTCGGTTGATACGCTGGAGGGAAGGAATGCCATCCAGAGGGATCTTGACACACTTGTGAGGTGGGCTGATGCCAACCTTACAAAGTTTAACCATGCCAAGTGCAAGGTCCTACACCTGGGTCGGAGCAACCCCAGGCACAGCTACAGGTTGGGCAGAGAAGAGATTCAGAGCAGCCCTGAGGAGAAGGACTTGGGGGTGTTGGTCAATGAGGAAGCGAACATGAGCCGGCTTCAGTGTACGCTTGCAGCCCAGAAGGCCAACTGCATCCTAGGCTGCATCAAAAGGAGCATGACCAGCAGGTCGAGGGAGGTGATCCTGCCCCTCTACTCTGCTCTCGTGAGACCTCACTTGGAGTATTGTGTGCAGTTCTGGTGTCCTCAACATAAAAAGGACATGGAACTGTTGGAACAAGTCCAGAGGAGGGCCACAAAGATGATCAGGGGACTAGAGGACCTCCCATATGAAGACCGGCGGAGAAAGTTGGGGCTGTTCAGCTTGGAGAAGAAAAGGCTGTGTGGAGACCTCATAGCAGCCTTCCAGTATCTGAAAGGGGCCTACAAGGATGCTGGGGATGGACTGTTCATTAGTGACTGTAGTGATAGGACAAGGGGTAACGGGTTAAAACTTAAACAGGGGAAGTTTAGATTGGATATAAGGAGGAAATTCTTTACTGTTAGGGTGGTGAGGCACTGGAATGGGTTGCCCAGGGAGGTTGTGAATGCTCCATCCCTGGCAGTGTTCAAGACCAGGTTGGACGAGGCCTTGGGTGATATGATGTAGCGTAAGGTGTCCCTGCTCACAGCAGGGGGGTTGGAACTAGATGATCTTAAGGTCCTTTCCAACCCTAATTATTCTATGATTCTATGATTCTAAGTAAGACCTTACCCAGCAGTCCAGGACTAATGCACCCACTCTGCCCAGTTGTAACACTCACGTAATCTGCTGTCATTATTCTCTTCAAGGATGTAAGAGCCCCAGACAGCAGAGGCAATAGCTGGTTCCTCTGCTAGCAGGAACATATTCAGAATGAAGACGAGCATATTTTGATCAACAGGCTCAGTCATGTCTGTTTTGCCTCTCTGTAGATGTATACAACTATCAGAAGAGGTAGATAACAGAACAGATACTAAATTATTTCTGCATCACAAGAAGACCAGTACTTCTACTGGTGGTGTGAGTTAACACTGAGGGGAGATAGCACCAGTAAAGTTTATTACACCGGGAGATGCAGCTTGTATTTACTCATCTCTTTAGGTAGCTGATGGTCAGAAGTAACCACCTCTACTAATGACCAGCAAATCTACTAGCTGCGCTGAGCAATAGGAGCCTTGAATGCATTGGACTCTGCCTGTACTTAGTTCATGTGATATCAGTGTTATGGCAGCAGATCCATAAGGCTGGCACATTCCTCTGTAAACACATCCTCTGTTTGTTATGTACCACAGTAATTCAAGCGACCACGCTGTGCTTCCCAGTCACCATTCACTTCCAAACCCTCACAGCAGCCCCTGACACATATTTGAAAGTAAAATAGCACTCTATTTTAGTCCTCTGTCTATGAGGGTGTGAGGATAATTTATGAAACACAAACTGGGGATCAAAGGCTGGTGGTAAAAACCTAGTTTAGGTTTTGAAGTTAGTGGGGGTCTGCCTGAGTTTCAGTGAATTCAACGGTGTCACTGTTTCTGTTCCCATGCTGATACAGACTCCTGTCACAGCTTCAAAAAAAACCTGTCTCGTTTTATGCGCATGAAAAGAGATAAAAATACTGGTAAGTGGTTCTTGAGAAACATAAATGGCTCTAATTCTTAATTGACATTATACGTCATTTTTTAAGGGTTATGGATAAGGTCATGTCTTTACGGGACACTGATAAAAAATAAGAGTTCTTTTGTGGATCCATTGTGGAAAGAGTCAAGGATACTGACTTGAATATTTGCTTTGAAATTGCCCAAAGAGCAGGCAGTCACCTGGAAGATTTTCATTTTGACTGCTTCAATTTTGTGCGTCATATATTAGATAGCAAAGCTATACAGTGTTGAAGAATTTATCATATTTAAATATGCTGTGACATTATTTGTATTCTGAAGTTGTTTTGAAAAGTATCGGTGAATTTTATGCACTGTCCTAATTGCGGTATATTGACTTAGTGGAGGCCAAGGCTGCCTTTGAGATAAATGCAAGTTAAGTGAATGGCATTTGATAGCCACGTAACATTTAAGGTGCTATTCAGGAGGATCCCATCTGCTGATTTGATTGTGTCTAAAAAGACATGTTCATATTTTTGTAACAGTAGTGTATTGAAAAAGTAAAATGTCACATGTTTGTGAGTGTGACAAAGAGATGGGCAAGAGACTTTACCAGGATGGTCTAAAGTGTAGCTGATTCTACTTGTGCTGTCTCCCTCCTCCTCCTCCGAGCAGGGCTGAGAGCACTTCTGGAAGTTTCCCT